GGCTTCAGTGACACCAGCATGAGCCTGGGCTTCAGTGACACCAGCATGAGCCTGAAGTCCCCCTGTCCCATGCAGAAAAAAACCTGAGCTTGTGCGGTCTCCTATGGTGCCCCTACCCATGCCCAAGAAGCTGCGCTTCAACATCACACCGGAGATCAAGAATGACATTGAGAAAGCCAAACAGAACATCAGCATGTGAGTAGAGGGCGGGGTCCTGGTAGGGAGGACCAGCCACTCAGCTTCCCGATGCCTGCCGCTCACCCACGCGGCTCACACCTCCACCCCAGCATGATCCAGGACCTGGACATCATGATGCTGGTATTCCATCACTTTGGAAAGGACTTCCCCAAGTCAGAGAAGCTAAGCCCTGATGCCTTCATCCAGATAGCCCTGCAGCTGGCATACTACAGGTGCGCCCTGCCTGACCACCTGCCCCTCAGAGGAGGGGAGGGGAGGAGAAGGGAAGAGACATACTGAGAGCCACCTCCCACCCAGGATCTACGGGCAGGCTTGTGCTACATATGAAAGTGCCTCTCTGCGGATGTTTCACCTGGGCCGCACTGACACCATCCGCTCAGCCTCCATAGACTCCCTGGCTTTTGTCAAAGGCATGGATGACTCCAATGTGCCGGTGAGAGGTCTGGACCACGGGTGGGTAGGCTGTGCTTGGGCCATTTCTTTCCTTTCCTGTTCATCCTCTTCAAAAGGATTGCACCTCCATGGCATTTCAGCCCCACAGTGGGCAAAGGGATTAACAGAAGATGGAGCCATGAATTTAGTTCTGAGCGTTCTGGCAGCCGAGGCAAACCCATGTATCCACCCATTCATAAGAGAAGCCAGCAATCTGTCCACTCACCTGAGAGAGTGCTGCAGTGCTGGGTACCGAGTGGCTGCTACGGTGAGAGGAAAAGGGAAGATGGCGCTTCAGTGTCCTGTGTTCCCCCTCCCTCTTCCAGGAGCACCAGAAGGTGGAGCTGCTCCGGAAGGCTGTGCAGGCCCACCGAGCCTACACTGACCGCGTGAGTGAGCCCTGCTCTCCTTCCTTATTGCCATTACCCTACCTGCCTGTCTGTCTTCCTGCTAACAACTGCCTCTTCCCAGAGCACTGGGGCCCCTGGAACTCGTTCTGTCCTGAGTCATTATTGCCATCTGAAAGTTGATGAAACCAGGGTCAACCTGGTAGCTGCTCTGGCCCCAGTTCCACGGTCACACTGAGCACGGGCACTCAGATCTTGTGTGCTCTCCCCAAAGGCCCAGCACATGCCAGCCGCAGCTGAGGCTGTAGCCAGGGAGGTGGTATAGGGGCATCAGGAGGCACGGTGTGCCCACGCTACCAGGCAGGCACAGACCCTGCCTATCATAGGGAGTGCACACTGCCCCATGTTACACGCGCAGACACTACTCATCTACATGCAGACACTGTCTAGCTCTCACTTAACCGCCCACTACCACAGCTCGTGTTTTCAGTCCTGCACTGTCCTGCCTCCCTGGGCAGATGTCTACTCCTCTGTAGCCCTAAGTTTTCTCATCTGGGAAGGGAGCACTCCTCTGCCTGGACACCTTGGTCTCACGGGCCTGAGGGACCAGAATCTGAAAGGGGCAGCACTGCCACAGGCTCCCGAGGACTGGGATGCCCTATGACCCTGCAATACCTGCCTCTGACAATTCTCCCCCCCCCCCCCAAAAGGCCATCCGAGGGGAGGGCTTTGACCGGCACCTGCTGGGTCTGAAGCTGCAAGCCATTGAGGACCTGGTGAGCATGCCTGACATCTTCATGGACACCTCCTACGCCATTGCTATGCACTTCAACCTCTCTACCAGCCAGGTAGGCCACTGCCCCGGGTGCCCGTGGTGAGTAGAACCCATTGGCAGGGGCTGGAGAAATGGCTATGAGCACTTGATATTTTACTAGAGGACCCAGGTTCAGCTCCCAGCACCCACAATCAGGGTGTTTACAACCACCTGTAGCTTCGGTTCCTGGAGATATGATGTCCTCTTTTGGCCTCTGTGGGCACAAACATATAAAATAAAAATAATCTTAAGCAGGTGTGGTGGTGCACTTGGGGAGGCAGAGACAGGCAGATCTCTGAGTTCAAGGCCAGCCTGGTCTACAAAGTAAGTCTAGGACAGCCAAGGCTACACAGAGAAACCCTGTCTAAAAACAAACACACACACACACACACACACACACACATATTCTTTACAACCTACTGGCAGCTGGACCTTAGGGGTAATGGAGCCCACACATGCCACCAGAGTCTCACTGCCAAAGCAACTGGGTTTCCAGGCAGGAGCTCAGCTTAGGGACACTGCTCTAACAAGGGTAGGAAGGCTTAGGCCTTTTAAGCTCCTCTTAAAAGAGAAGCTGTTCCACTCATTCATTGGCCAGTTGTAGATGATGAGTACCAACTAACATGTGCTGGGTGCTGGGACACAGCTGGCACAAACCACAGTCCCAGGGAGCTCACAGTGTGTGTGGAGCACAGGCAGGGAGACAGTGATGGCCTCAGGGCAGTGCCGGTGCAGAGGCCGCACCACTGCCCCTCCAGGAAAACAAAGGAAGGCTCACCCCATGGAGAAAAGGAAAGGGCACAGAGGAGGAGTGGATGCAGAGAGTCAGACTACTACAGCCAAGGGACAGGAAGGCCACCACAGGCCTGGGTATGAAGCTTTGAACCTGCTGTCCCCAGGTCCCTGCCAAGACAGACTGTGTCATGTTCTTCGGACCCGTGGTCCCAGATGGTTATGGCATCTGCTACAACCCCATGGAGGCCCACATCAACTTTTCCGTGTCAGCCTACAACAGCTGTGCTGAGACAAACGCCGCCCGCATGGCCCACTACTTGGAGAAAGCTTTGCTGGACATGCGCACCCTACTGCAGAACCACCCCAGGGCCAAACTCTAAGCCCAGGCCCAGGCCTGCCAGTGCCACAGCCAAGCCTAGTTTGGGATGGACCCCTGCCATGGCTCACTTCCTTGGTTTCTGTGCCCTCCAATTTGACTGAGCCACGGAAGCGTTGTCTAGCAGGACCCCTCTAAGCCAAGTGCTTTCCAGGCCCTGCCTTCAGCACCTGCCATAGTCCAAGTACAGGGCAGAGTTCAGAGGCTGAACAAGACCAAGGCCCAGATCCCCCAACATGATCCACTGTCATGAACCCTGGGACAGGAACCAGCCCAGCCCAGTCCAGTCCACCCCATAGCAAGGGCTGGGAGAAATTCCTTTCTTCAACCCTGGCCAATCTCTAGCATCTCCATAGCCAAGCCAAAATCTGTCTTCATCAACACCCAAGGACCAGGAGTCAAAGTATTATCCAGCGCTGAAAGACAAAGTCTTTGTGGCCAAAGGGACACCTGAGGCCTAGCCTCCACTACCCCACCACAAGGTGCCATCTCCTTGCTGCCACACTTTCTGGCAACTCTTGAGCCCCAGCCTTCTGGTTTCCATTCAGCTTGATTCTTGAACTACATTCATGGTTGCAGTGATTATGCCAGGGGATCAATAAAGGGAAGAAGTGCTGGTGAAGTTGAGTTGTAGCTGAGGGGCAAGGACAGATGCTTGGCCTTGCTGTCTTCTATCTCTGGTTCTGGGTGCTAGTTCCAAGCAGCCTGTGGGCCAGTACACTCCCAGAGGAACCAGGTCGTCAGGGTGAGCTCAAGAGAGCTGGGGTGCTAAGCCAAGCATGGCGATCTCCTACCTGTCCTGGTTTTAAGCCTTTCCAAGTCCCATGGTTAGTGAAATGCTATAGATCTGGTGTGGCAAACACCCACTAGCCCAAAGCCGGATGCAGCTGCCCTTCACTGAACTCAACAGGAGGGAAAATGGAACAGCTAGGCCCAGCTGATGAGTAGAGGCAAATGCTGACTGGAGGTGGGCTGGAGGAGCACCCACTATCAGAGCACCCAACCCTGACACCTGCTAGAGGGTACATGTCCTGCGGAAGTCCCTGGGTATAGACGTGTACTTGGAATGTGGGGCTGCAAGGCAGGCACACCTGTGAAGGAAGTGCTTCATGGCCCAATTGACCTGTGTGGTCAACTGAGGTAGGGCCTGTGGCCAGTTTTCACATGAAAAAACCGGCTCAGAGAAGCCAAGTCACTGTGCTATGGCAGGCTCCCAAGGGCACATCAGTTCTTTGTAAGCCAGGGAAGGTCTGAGATCCTCCAATCTCTCAGCACACCATCAGCTGTCCCAGGGCAGCGAGGTATGCAGAAAGGAACTGTGGAGCAGATGTTAGCAGGGACAAATCAGATTTCCCCAGGGGTGTGTCCTAGTTCTGAGTAGGTCCCAGAGAAGAGCTGGAGCCCAAGCAGGGCTCTACTGTAACTGAAAACAATAATTTGAAGTCTAGAGTACATTCTTTCTCCTGGGGTCACTAGCTGAAGTCACAACTGTCAAGATTCTGTCCTCTGCCAACCACGTGCTTCACCTGGCTCCACCCATGTGAGAAACAGGGTGACCTCCCACATACCCTTACTCAGAGGGTGTGGCTGTGGACCTTGGCATAACCTGCCCAGAAAAGAAGCTCCCTGCCTCGGGCTAGCCTGTGCTCAGACTCAGTCCTGCAAGGCCTTTAGCCACTGGCTTGGCAGCAGGCATTTGTGCCAAGGCAGAAGTCACCTAGGTATGCACTGAGGCAGACAGTGCAAGTGGAGTTGGTTATGGAGCCCTTGTAAAGGGCAGATCTCCCCAGACTCTTGTGTGGAGGAAACTCTGGCCAGGGCCAGCCTACAACAGGCGGGGGTGGGGGGGTCTCTGACAGGAGCATATACGTGGGTGTTCTGGGATGACAGACTTCTGTGGTAGATGTCAGGGCAATTGAAACCCTCACTCTGGGGGCTAGAGGGGACTGAGTATCCTGGAAATTCTTCTGGCTTTATGGCCTTAGCACATCCTTGTCCCAGAGGCCACATGTGCCCCAGTGGTCCCACAGCCTCCTTTCATGAGCTGTCAATATATACTCAGCCTCCAGAGTTTCAGATTTTATTTTAAAACAATAGTAAACAATTTCATTTTCTTAAACCACCTCACACTTGGCTTGTCTCAGGCAAAAAGTAAAAAATAAAAATCCTAGGGGAAGGGGAGGGAATGTGACTCACCTACCGCCCTAGAAACCAGCCCTGGCCCTGGCCTCTGAGGGGCTTGGACACGGCCTTTAACAGACACAAAAGGAAAGCACCAAAAACTTGTGCTTCAGCAGCAGGTTAGGGACCTCCACAGAGAAAGGGGGGAGGGTTCGAACAGGTCCCCCAGGGGCTGCTTCAGTTCTGGAAGCATCTCCACGGCTGTGGCAGGGCAACTTGGAGAGTCCCCTTAGGAGGGACTCCTCACAGCCCGGCAGATTCCAGGGTCAGCCTGCACAGGGCTCCAGCCTCTAGGGCAGGCCGGGAAGGACAGGGACAAATCCAGAGCATATGGGCCAGGTGACGGGGGAGAGTGTCAACGCTGCCACACTGCCAGCATCCTAGCTCCTGGTTCCTGTTTTGTTCAAGTGGGGATGAAGACAGACTGCTACTGGATGGCCAGACAAAAGGAGCTGTAAACGCTTGGGTGTGCTCACCCGTATGTGCAGGCTCTTTTGTCAGAAAGGGATTACTGTCTTGGGGATAGAGGACCAGAGAAAGCCCTTGTGATGTTGGGTTGACATAGGGAAGAACACAATAACAGCAGCCCAGCCGACAGACGGGTGCTTGCTCTGGGCCCTGCCCCCAGACAAGGAAACACTGACAAGGTTCTGGAATGGCAATGGTGACAGGGAGAGCAAGGGTTGCCTCACTCCTGGGCACCAGGCCCCGCTCAGGCCCAGCAGGAGGCGGGCTATCCTGCCTGAGGCTCAGAGCAGAGGGTCTGGGTGCTCACCTGGGCCCCTCTGTACAGGGCAGCCACTGCAGAGCAGCCTCTTCAGCATGGACTCTACAACCCCAAAATAAATAGTGTGCACTCTACCTGGAGTTCCTGATCTCAAGACCCAAGGTGCAAGCCCCGTGCTCTACCCACACCCTAGGGCCCATGCCAAGAGCACCTTCCGCCCAGTCAGGAGCTGGCAGCAGCAGAGCCAGGGTCTCTGGCCATGTGACCCACAGACAGCAGGCCCTCCCAGAGAGTCCTGGCTGAGGGCCTGACTCAGCCCTTTGGTCCACCATGTCCATTAAAATTAAAATAAGAAAAAAAAGAAAAAAAAAGGCTCCACTTGGTGACTTGGGTCTGTAGAGGTCTCTGCTTCACTCCTCCATCCATCATTCTGTCCATCCTGCAAGGCATGGCGCAGGCCAGATTCAGAGGCTTGACCCAGCCACACCCACCAGTCACTGCAGTTTCGTCCCCAGTTTGCGTTGTCTGTTCCTGCAAAATGGGGCTTAGATGTGGGGGTGCCTGGTATTGAGTGGCCTGTCCCACAGCTGCCCTTTCTCCCTGCTCAGTCTCAATTACAGTGGCAAAGGCCCAACCATACCCACACTGGCCAGAGCTGGGCCAATCAGAACTCCTGCTATAAGCTGGATCCTGAAGAGGACCCGCATTTGGAGGACCCAGGTTTGGAGCTCAGGAAGTGAGCCAGGGGATGGCAGGACAGGGCTGGGACAAGACAAGAAAGGTCAGTAGCACTTGGATGGGCCTGACTAATGGGGAGTTCCTTTATAGAAGTCAGCCCAGGAAGGTTCTGCTGCTACCACCAAAACAGCTACAGAAAGGTGGTAGGCTCTTCTTGTAAAAGGATGCAAGCAGAGGAAGGCACACTGAAGGGGCTCCCCGAAATGGACGCATCTACTTGGAAGGGGACAGGAAGAATCACTGCTATTCTCAAGAGGGGCTAGCTGAGGCTCAGAAAGAACAGTGCTTGTTTAAGATACCTACAGAACTAGAAAGCAGGGGTCCTGGTGTGATGTTACCCCAGTCCTCCAGCTTGCTCCCTGGGCTCTCAAACACCAATCTGTTTCAAGAGCTTCATGCCTGCTGTTCCTCTTCTCAGATGCCTCTCTGTCATCTCCACTGCAGAAGGCCTGCTCATCTGTATCACTCAGGACTGCTTCCTCCTGGGAGGCTGATGGACTCTCCTGCTGAACTCTAGGATCCTGTCACTCTTTGAGACTCTGAGCCTCACTCCTCAATACAGCTCACATGGCTGGTCCTTCCTTCCTCATGGATCCCTGCTGCTTTGATCTCAGGGGGTGGGAACACAGTTGCCTCACTCTGTACATAGTTGTGCTCAGCCTCTGTACACAGCCTGTTGGGGAGCAGGTGCCAGGGAGAGTTGGGAGAATGAAGGCAGGTGGCAGCTGGCTAAGCAGGGTGAGGCGGCGCTGGCCATTCTGGGAGCCAGGTGGAGAGCTGAGCCTGAGGCATCTGGGGCCTGTCTGCCACTAATGGGATTGCCCTGCCCTAACCCTCAAATCCCCTTTCTGCATGGATCCAGGCTTTACCTTTAAGCTTGTTAGGATAATGTGGACCTTGATGTACTAACACATTTTCTAGCTGCTAGACACCCACCCTGCTCTGCCCTGCCCCGTGGCTCTCACCCCCACTGGAAAATCTCCTAGGCTTCCTCTGGAGCCTGGCCTGCTTCAGCTCTCTCCAGAGCTTAGGGAAAAGCTGGCCATCTCCAACTCTGAGGCACTCCACCCCAGATAGGAGGAGAGTTAAATAAAAAGAGTGTGAGTCAGGAGATGACAAAACCCAGCTTTGCCCCAACTTGAATCAGCTTCAAGCCGGCCCCCAGCTCAGTGTGCCTCAGCTTACCCAGCCAACAGAAGGCTAAACAGCTCTGAGGACAGCCACACTCAAGGGCCTGGGCTGTAGAAGAGGGTAAAAGTAGACACACTGGCCCGTGGCTTACCACCAGCTCCCTCACCCACTAATAGAGCCCCAACACTTTCCTTCTTTCTGAGCCTCTCCATTCCCATCTGAAAAAAGATGGGCACATAGGAGAATTCAGTGTCCGAAATGGAAGCAAGTATCTAGCTTTCCAGGAGCCTTCCAAAGTGGGGCAGTGCTGACTGCTGTCCCCTTAACTCACCTGGCTTCTGCCCTGGTTACTGTATACTCAAACCAGAGCACGTTGGGAATGAGGCTTGTGTCCCGGATGAGGAAAAACTCGGAGATGGGCCTGGAGAGACACATACCCAAAAAGCCAGGGCCATGGTGAGAGCATGAGCCTACCACCAAGCCAGGTGTCCCCATAGTTCCCCAAGCCCCCTACAGCAATGGAGGACCACTGCCCCACAAGACTTTGGCTGCCTGCTAAGTCTCTAAGGGCCGATGCAAGAACAGAGGAGGGCACTCTGGGTGCTGAACCTGAGAGACCATAAGCCCCTGGGGGAGGTAGTAGCCAGGACAGTGCGTTCTAAGCCTCATGCCACCAGAGGCCTGACACTGGGCCATCCAGGACACAAGGCTCTCCACAGATGGCCATGCCTGCAGGGAAGGGAGGGAGAATTGGTTACCAGGCTGCTATCCTGGGGAACAGCGGGGTGAGGACTTCTTGGGTGAAGATGAACCAAGCGATGGCCATGAGGCTTCCAGCAACACCC